GACGTGGGAATAAACTTAAACACACAAACTTTAATAAACCAAAGGCTGGAAAATCAGGAACGCAGGAGACATAGAATGACGTAAGACACCGAACACTAGACACAGGAAACACTGGGCTTCCAAATATGGGCATGATCAAACAGAGGGAGAAAGTAGGCCATGGAGAGCACATGGGGAGCAAAACACAAGACAGGAACACAAGGACAGTCCATAGGCGTGACATTACCTCCCCCTCCCGGAAGGCGCATCCACGCGCCGCATAACTTCCGGGCGGGGTGGGGGGTGGTATCGCTCTGGAAGCCTCTATGGACAGGCTTACACAGGACGGAAGGCCTCCAGGGCGGTAACCGTTCTGGGACCCATGGCGGAGCGGTAGCTCGGGGAGCCATGGAGGGGCAGCCTCTGTGGCCTTGGCCTCGGCCCGGCCATTACGGCCCCCCAAAAAAAATTCCTTGGGGAAAATTTCGGGTTCTGAGGCCCTCCGTGGGCCAGGTGTAGGAACAACGGCCCTCCCTGAGCTTGACTCGGGATCTGAGGTAGAGGCTGACATTTTTTCGGGAATCCCACGGGATGGGAAACAAAATCTGCATCTGTTAATCGTTTATATTTTATATTAGTTCATGTTGCTTTTGTGCAATAGATGAATAACAATTTATTTGTTTTAGATATTTTATGTTTAGATATTTCTATTTTGCGTGAGTCCCGTGAATCATTTTATTCTCCCGCATCCCGCACACACACGAGTCTCTGCACTCGCCTATCAAGTCTTATCCCGCGCCGCACTCTGTTCCGTCAGGTCTCGCAGGAGACCAGGTCTCTAATCCACTGGCGCTTGACTCGACAGTGCGTGAGCTACATCCTTTTTACAATCTAGATTATAAATCACTGCATTCTGCCAGCAATGTAACGCGGCAGTAACATATAGAGACCTCGGCTTATAACTATACTCTAATTACTATTTCGAAAATTATAACACGTTAAATTACTCCGTTACTAAAAAAGTAATCAAATTACAGTAACGCGTTATTTCACCAGATCTTTTGTGTATCTGCAGTCAATCTGTTGTTTACAAGGTCTCATAACATTTAAACAGTGCACAAACATGATGAGTTGGAAAGCTTAGCTTTGATAATTTTGGATGTTTAAAACTATTACATACAGACAAAGTGAACAAATAAGAAAAAAAAGAATCTAAATTATTCTGAGAATTTTTTTAACTGTACAATATTCTGTTTGTTAAGCAAATAGCATTTGAATCTTTACTGTAGGGATTTGTGCACTTTTGCTTATATTCAAATCATGGTTGAATCTGTTTCTCTATTCACACTCCTGTCTGCTGTTCACCGAGATAAAACAAGCACACATCTATTATTCTTCTACTCACAAAAGCAATGGACAGTTGCTCTGGCTCCATGGCACTGGAGCAGAACACACACACACACTGGAGCAGAACAACCCAAGCTACCATTTCACCGTGTCTGTTCATCCTCTGGCCCGGAAATAACAGGTGAACGAACGGGGATATCGCTGCTGAATAATTCATAATGGATATGAGCAGCTCTGCTCTCGAAGTCTTTTCAAATCGCAGAAACGGATGTGCAAAACAATGCATTCTCAGTACCGTGCTGTAAACATATTCATTTGAAAATGAGGTCCCACCCTGCTGAATGAAGTTTGTTTATTTGGCAGCACAATGAGGGACACTGCTGTTCCTGCAAATGTAATTTATCCTGACATCCATGTTTTTAGTTTTTATGGGAACAATATGCCTCTCAGGAAATAAATGCATATGATCTCAACGTGCTTTATACAAGCTACTGCACATCTCTCAGGGAAAAAAAAAACATTCTCAAAACATCTGCTGATCTGAGCAGCGGAAAAAAACATAATAATGGACACTCACCAATAATTGTGACTACAGTATATGGCTGGGCGATACAGCTAAATCAACATTTTTGAATGTTTTACAAAAGTAAAATGCAATAATCAAATAATAATGTTTTCCAGTAAATTAACAGGAAAAAATGGAGGCTACTTAATAATTTTATTATAATTAATAGAATTTGAATTATTATGAATAATTATTATTGAATTATATTATTTTATGCTCTAATATAACAATACATTGTAATAAACAGCAATGTTTACATAAATGTCTACTCAGAATGCAAATTAATCAAGTTATAATCAATTCACTCAAACAGACAAACAAAAACTGATTCTCAGCTGTATTATTAAACAATGAGAATCAGAATTTGAAAAGGACACTTATTTAATGCATATCCATCGGAACATGGTTTGTACTGAAAATCAAAAACAAGATGTTCAGCCCTTAATATGTTGGTTATGTTTGGCGTCAAATTACATGCGATAGCAGTGCAGTGGAGTGGCTGAATGATGCAGAGGACACCCACAGCTCACAGTGTGAACAAACAGAAATATTTGTGTGCAGATGTATTTGTGCTCATCTGTTTGTGTGCATATGAGAGAGAGAGAAGTAAGAGAGTGCACAAAAAAGGCTAAACATATTTGTGATCACACGTTCAGCTTTTGAGCTTACTTAAAACAAGCCTACGTAATTTACAAACATATCTTTCTTACGCATAAAGCTTACTGCACTTGTTACAAGACTAAGTTTAAGTAAAATACATAAATGTGAAGGGTCACTGAAATGCATAAAATGCATTTAAATGAAGACGATAATAATAATAAAAAATGGTTAGAGTTGTATTACTTATTGTGTGATTAATTATATATTCTGTGAAACTCAACATAGCCATCATACAGGGAAACAAAGCCATTTGAACAGAAAAATTACATTCTCCTTGTACTTCAGTGTTAATTACATTGAGTGGGCTCAGTATTACAGTTAATCACAGCTTTGTCATGAGCACCCTGATCTTTACACATGCTTGGATCTGTGAATTTTGATTTCAGAATTACGTCAATTATGGCTACACAAACAATCATAACATGGCACATGACACAAAATCCGATCACTTCAGCTCTTGATATAGCTAATTCTACAAAATATGACCTCCAGGAGACATGACCATCAGCATAATTTTCACAAACAATATTTCAAGCTGGTTATGTCATGGTAATCAGAGTCATGTTAATGTTAAATGTTTGCATTTGCATTAAGTTTACGTTTCAGACTCCAATCGATCAAATGTATTCTCTTGGCAAAATAAAATAAAATAAAATATTTATGTCTGTTCGTAAATATGTATTTATGTACATCAGCCAATGAACAAAATAATAACACTCGAAAATATCAAGTTGAGTGTAAAAAAATTGTTTTAATGATATACATTCAGTCAAGCCTCGTCTGATTTTCAGAATCGTTTTATTATAGTACGATAATAATAATAATGTATTAATTTAATATAATTTCAGCTGACAAATTAATTTGAAATAACCCTGCTTCTCTATTCTACAAAACTCTGGAGACCAGTAATAAATGACAAAGCTCTTGACCCGTCCCGATACAAACACAAACAGCACCTTGTAAAACAGCAGGCAGTAATCAAATGTCAGCTTGTTAAATGACTCTTAAACTTCTTTTCGTCAAGACTCTCAATTAGTATCACTAAGGTTACCACAGACAAATAAATCAGGAAAACTCAGTTAGCCAGAAACACTTGATTAGTCAATTGCACCTCAAAACACAGGCCCTTTTAGCTACTCTTTCTCAAAGCACAGATTCTGCCAATGAGGGACCGTCAACATA